GAAGAAAAATTACCAGAAAATAACATTTTACATACAAATGATTTCGAAAAACTTTCTAGTGAAATAGAAAACCTGATACAATACCATGACATCGGGCATCTGAAATTTGATGAAAATTCTGGGAGAGCAATTGTAACCAACACAACGAGACTAGAAATAATTAAGCTCGGTTGGAAATATTTTCAAAATTCGGACGGGCCATTTCTACCAACAAACAATCGTTCGATGACTCAAAATTGGTTCAAGAAAAAGTTAGGAGATGGACGTGGTGAAAAAGTTACTCGATCTTGGCTGGTGTACTCCCCGTTCAAGAAATCTGCATTTTGTCTTTGCTGCATTCTGTTCAAATTCTGAACATCAGTCGTCGTTGGAGAAAGAAGGTGGATTCACCCAGTGGAAGGCACGCGAGAGGATCATCATTCATGAAAACTCCAAGAATCATCGAGAAAATTTTGCACGGTGGAAAGAAATGGAGCTCAATTTTACTCGAAGTGAAGGTTTTGTTGATGCAAGGATATTGTCACAGTTCGAGGCAGGAAAACTTAAATGGCGTGAAGTTTTGACAAGAATTCTCCATTGTATCAAGTTTCTAGCTACGCAAAATTTGGCTCTGCGAGGACACAGAGAGCCACATCATATGCTTGACAACTCTAATGTCGGAAATTTTCTTGGTTTGCTGAAACTAGTATCTATATTCGATGAAGTTATGAAAGAACACCTGAGAAACGCTGAAAGTCATCCTGGGTCCACTTCGTATCTTAGCCCATGCATTCAGAATGAACTTCTTCACCTTATGGCATCTGCTGTTCGCTGGCGTTTACTTAAAAGTATTCATGTGGCCAAGTATTATGGTCTCATGTTCGACTCAACTCCCGATATTGCCCATCGCGATCAAATGTCAGAAGTCGTGAGGTTCGTGGACATTGATTTTGAAAAAAAAAACAGTACAGGTGAAGGAAACCTTTCTTGGCTTTATTGAAATTACCGTGAAGAATGCTAAGGGACTGGCGAATTGTATTTTAGAACAGTTAAAGAAAGATGAAATGGATTTTCAAGATTGTCGGTCACAGTGCTACGATAATGCTGCTGTAATGGCTGGGCACAAAAATGGCGTGAATGAAAAACTGACAGAAATAAATAGACGTGCATTGTTTGTAAACTGTGACAATCACTCACTCAACTTAGTTGGTGTACATGTAGCAAAACAAAATGTAACAATGGTCACTTTTTTTGGAACGATCGAAAGTCTATATGCATTTTTTTCTCGTTCAACAAGCCGATGGGAAAAACTTAAGGAAGCTATACCAGTTGTCATCAAGTCCAAATGTGAAACCAGATGGAGCGCAAACGTAGAAGCAATAAAGCCAGTTAACAATTATTTGGAGAAAATTCTGGGAGTTCTTGAAGAAATGACCGAAGACAAGAATCAAACAAGTGAAACAAGGAGTGATGCCCAGCAACTATTCAACCGAATGTTGAAGTATGATTTCTTGATTTTGCTGGGATTTTGGAATAAAGTATCATCCGCATTGACCGCGTTCAGAAGAGGCTGCAAGATCCCACGATGAATTTTCACGATGCTGCTGAAGATTTGAAGGCTCTTCAAAATTATTTTGAAAATGAAAGAGAGGCCATCACTGATAGTTCACTCGAGGAAGGGATCATTTTATGTCAAAAATGGGACGTTGCAACTGAAAGACGCCGAAGATGAATAAAAAATATGGCTGGTGAGATTTAGATTGATGCAGGTTTGAGTGCCATGGAAGAAATGAAAAGAGTCTTGAAAGAAACAGTTGATCGTCTATTTCAAGAAATGAACGGAAGATTCGTACGGTTGAATGAAATCGATGAAAAATTTGGATTCCTTCTCGATGTCAAAGGTCTTATTTATGACGAAAAAGACTACGATCTGAAAAAAAAATGCAACGAGCTAGGTCAATTCTACGTAAGTGATATTGATGGAAATGAACTTTATGAAGAAATCCTTGACTGCAGGATGTTGCTCACGAGCCGAAAAAACATCATTTCAAGTCCAGAAACACTCCTCGAATTTATTGTTCAGTTCGGAAAGCGTGTTCCCGAATCTTCGCGTCGCAATTCAAATTCTACTGACAATAGCAGTTTCCATTGCTAGCTGCGAGAGATCCTTCAGCAAGTTAAAACTTATACTGTCTTATTTAAGAACTACAATGGGTCAAGCAAGATTGTGCGATTTAGCGTTATTAAGTGTAGAAAGGGATGAAACTGAAAAAACTGATTTCAATGATCTTATTAATGAATTCGCGTCAAAAAAAGCAAGAAAAGTACAACTGTAATTTTCACGAAAGCTTTGATTGTTCTAACAAATTAGTTAAAGAAATATTATTGTAACGATGCGACGATGCGAGATCTTGTAATAAATAATTTGAATCTAACCTTAAACATGTTATGTTATTATTGAAAACTAGCATCCTGGAATAATATATAATCTTGAAAATGCAAATTTTATTTCCATTCTTTAGCATTATGATATTGAAACAAATTACGAAGAATTTCTTATTAAATTACTATTAAAATTTTTTTAAATTCATAAGAATTAAAAACAAATATATAAAGATTAAATACAACAAATTAAAAAAAGAGGAGTGGGGGGGCGCAATTTTTTCGCTGCCATGGGCGCTACGTCCTCCAGGTACGCCTCTGGTAAAAGTACAGCATATTCGTGAAATGTGCCGCCACTGTGCTTCAACTCATCGGATATTGATTGATTGCTGGGAATCCAGTCTCACAATGCGCACACAAATGTATGTGCAAATAAGGTGATGACATTGGAGAGGAGAGGTAAAGGGGTTGGAAAGTGCACATTGCCATGGACGTCCTCCGAGGGGATAATGAGGGGACAAATTTATTACTTAAAACCCGGGTTTTCTCTTTACAGTATAAATCGGTTTGTGAAAAATTGATTTTAGAAAAAACATATTTTAGCGTTAGCTTGGATGTTTTGATGTTTATATGAGGGAATTGCAGGCCTGATCAAAATGAGATCTATACAGGTGATGCTGATAACTATACTCAATGGTACACGACAGAAGTCACAAATAAAATTTAGCGACATGAAGTGGGTGAAAAATTTAAAGCCAGATCATTATGGCGTCATATAAATTTGTTTTCCAAAGTGAGCGATTAAACGTTTCCATGCGGACCTTTCTGGTATTAGGGATTTAGTGCCGTGGCCCTTTAAATAGCTATTTCCCACGATAAAAGGTAGCCCAAGTGAATTTTATCCAAATTCGATCAGCCATTTTGATATGATTGAGTAAAGAACATCTACTCTTACTCATTTGTAATATTGGTAGGATTATGTAGTACGACTAACATGTAATTATAATAGACAGGTAGTCAAAGAGATTAGCACCGAGCTAGTTTCACTCGTCATACACTGTGGATACTCTCTAGACCCAGTACCCTACGTCAATTTCTTATTTCCTTGCAGCAAAAATGCATATCTTTAAGGCTCAATAAGTCTTAAGGATGTGCTTATTGAGCTTTGTTTCCAATGATACTTTTGGTCTGCATGAAAGAAGGAATATATTCCCTGCCTTTGGCGAGTTTTCCCAGAAACCCATTCCCCATAAGGAATGTGACTCATCCTTTGGTTATTTCCGTATAAGCCACGCTTAGCAAAAATGGTTCTTAAGAGCTTTCACTCAAGTTGAAAAAATGAGAATTTTTGCATTGCCAAGGTTTCTAATTTGCTAATAAATAAATTTTTAATGTGGGCTTGGTCAGTAAACTCTGCTATTATGCAACATATCTAAAAATTTCATTACAAAAATTTTAGTCAACAGTATGCTCCTTACTTGGAAAATATTTCAATTTCTGAAGGCTGTTACGAACTATGTGGTAACCTAAACATACATTGTTTAAAATGGAAGGACACACATTTTATTGCAGGTTCGCATAAGTCCTTTCAAATAGAGCAACTTGATGCACATACTATAAGGTTTTATTCCTGAATTGTTGAGGTATTGAACAGATCTTAAAAAAAATAAACAGCTTTGAAAACTCGCACCTCCGCAATTGCTAGATCGGAAAAATTTCACGATCCCAAATGTTCTTCTTATTCACTTACTGTTCCAGTTTCTTCATGGTGGACAAGAACGCAAAATGAAAGATTTTTCAAAATCTGCAAATGGACCACGCTGTATATTTCCACACTTTTTTATTCCCATTTTGTACGAACGGTTTATGAGTTATCATATGGTTAAAATTTGTGTATTTTCATTATAAATTAAATCTAGCTAACCTCATGCAATCAAGTCTGAACGTCAAGAAGGTATCCCTGTATTTTTTGTAACTTAAAAACCACTCGTACGAACCACCATAAGCCTTACAACACCGTAGAAAGGGTAAACAAAAAGTGTAAAAATCAACAGCACGTTTGAAAATGTTGAAAAATCGTTGATTTTGCGTTCCCGATCACCCTGTAAGCTAACCGAAAAATTGAAAAAGTAAGTAGATATGGAGAAAATATGGGATCATACAGTTTTGACGAAACGTTCAGTTCTCTAACTATAGCAGCTGCTGAAATTCTAGTTGTTAAAGTGAGCGTTTCTTTTTCTAGATTGCCCAAAATCATGAAAAAAGAGTCCATTAGTATGTTACATCTATGTATGGGTCACTACGCATTTATGAATCACCCTGTAAAAATAAAAATGTGTACTGGTACCAGGTAAGGAGCGTCCAGTTGACTACAATTTTTGTGATTAACTTTTTTTAAAACCATGCGTAATATTGGAGTGTATGCCGAGCCCACAATAAAAACTCACTCTGTGAGAACCTGAAAGAGATGCATCGTAGGAGCTGCATCTTTCTCGCGCTTTATTACTTTGGACATAACTTCTGCTCTAAAAAGCTAAAAAATATGTTCGCCGCTTTACGGATCACCCCAGTCTAAATCATTTTCTAAACTTTACTCAACTTTCTATTTTCACAAACCCTATAAAATTTTCTTGTTCAAGGTCTGGGAGGAAACGGCGGACACAGTAACCGGCTACTTATTGAAAACCGCGCTGTCGAAATCCGAAAAGGATTATTTAAAAGTTTCTCAGGCGACTTTCCAGGATTTGAAGGACATCAATGCACTCAAAAGGCAATTCACCCAAGTGTTCGAACGGCTCGCTTCAAGAGGAAAAGTTCTCCAGAGTGGTGGCGGTACAGATGCGTGTAAGGAAATAACTGAAGGTCGGTTTACAAACGTTACTTTTATTGGAAAAATAAAACAAGTCTTATCGAGTGGTGTTTAAATATACGGGGAGTTCCTTTCCAGGAACTACTACGCTTGAAACAGAACAGCGAATGCGCAATAAATACACCAGTGAAAAAGTAAAACAAAAATTTTAAGAGAGTAGAGTAGGTTTTAAAAAATTCACCTGACTTTGACCGTAACTATCAAGGCCACCAAATCCATGATCGCCATTGACTAGCATGGGAGAAACCCTAACAACAGCACGTTTTACTTCTTCTCTGACAACATTACCTCACAAATTATGCTGTCTTATCAAATATATCAATAACCCATACTTGGGAGATTCCGTAGGTCGGACTTTTGATCGCCATACTGAAGACTACCTCTATGCAAAATTTCAACTTATGTAGGCGAAGGCATTTTCTATCAGAAAGCTGGGAAGTTGTTTTAAGATGAGCGCATCTAAGTTTAACCAGTTAAATATTTTAGAACATTTCGAGCAAAGCTTTGTCAACATTTTTCTTTTACTTTCCACGCCTACTGGCGGTATTGTAATCGCAATAAAATGAGGTTATGTAGATTACGAAAAACTATATCATACACTAATTTTATAACCGCCTTTAACTTGAGAAGTTCCGCTCAAATTTCAAAGAAATTCTTACACAATATTACTACCATGCCAAGAACGCAAAAGCTTTGTAGTTTTTGAAAATCGGTCAAGTTGCGACAGGGAAAAAGGCGAAAAAAAAGAATACTTGTTTTTTTGATCATATTTGAAAAAAAATACAGGTAAAAAAGCTTGGAGGTTGGGGTTGCAGGGAGGTGGGGAGGGTTTACCTTAATTTTTTGACAGACAGATCACGTACCTTTGGTGAACGTTCTGTTGTTCTGGTATGGTATTACACGTATTACTAATGCGCCACAGCCCGCGCTGCCACGTCTGACCGGGTTAAGTACGTATCAGGGAGCGTAGACGTTGACAGATGCTCTACCGATAGGGTAGGGAGACAATGCCTATGGTCTAATTGTATCGACCTATTCAACTGACTGTTTTCTCAGAGGGTCTGATTTGCGCTGTACATAATGCTTTATGAACGGATAACGGCGTTTAATGGGAAGTGCAGAGCCAAGCTACTTGACGTTAAATTTTTTATTTTAGTATTTGATTTTTTATAAAAAGCTCAGTTGGCAGTTTTATCAGTTTTGTTAAAAACTCCTCCATTTTCGAAAACTTATCTTACTATTTTTATACGAGCGCGTGGTCGCAATATTTTATTTCTTCAAGTCTGTGTTGACGCGTGGAAAGTGCCGAGTAAACCTACCTCATTCTTTCAAGCCAGTAAATGAGGAGTAAACGAACGCAAAGAATAATAGGTGATATTTGCCCAAGGCGACGTTTAATCTATCAGAAATCTCAAGTATCGCCCTGTCACACTTTTCAAAGTTCTCTCCGCCTTAGTTTTCCAGGAACATGCAATATATTGCTGTAACTTGGTGTGAAAATTTACGTTGCCAGAGCTGAGTGATAAAACGTTCTCATAACGATAAGTTTTAAACGGATTATTTTTGTGGCAAATGTTACTAAGCAATAGGAAATAGTAATGAAAGGGGTCTTCTCAATCTTATAGCGTAGCTGACTAGGCTGCGTACAGGCAAACGGTATTGGAATAACCTGCAATACTTGTGATGGAGTACGTTTGACAGTTAGAGTGTTTTATACAGCTCGATATTTTTCAAAAAATTTGCTCACAATCAGTAAATTTATCTACAAATTTTCATAATTATGAGAACAGTCGACTCCAAACGGATGAAGTGAGTTCGGTTTTTAAATCGAAAGTCTATTTTGTTTATATAGGTCCCCTATTTTATATATATTTAATAAAAAGTATCAATACCGTATTCACTTGGAAGTCGTAGGCCAGGCGCTGGATGGAATTAGGTTTGCAAAACGCAGGGACCGTACTTTATCAGATATCAATTTAAAAGAGGTCAGAAAATAATAGTCCGGTTCCTGCAGGTTGGTTTCTTTTTTTAATCTCCTCCCCTCATAAGTAATCTCAAAAAACTTTTACCCGCACCGATCATTTATTTTATTTTTTTCTTCTTCTTTCATGCTGAACAAGAAAGGACCTAAGTACCATTACTTCAAAGTTAATGGTTTTCGAGCTATAAGACATTTAATTTCGAAAAAACTCTGAAAATGATTATCTTCATTGATTCAAAACTCGGTTGAAGATTGAAGCCAAAAAAACCTTCCCCTACAAGATTCTGAAGAGTATTTCAAGACTAATTTATTTAAAAGTGACTTTTAAGCTAGTTTGTTAGGTCAAAACTGGCGAACTTATGATTTTAGCAGACTGTATAAACCGCCTTCATTAAATTGAAGCAGAAACCAACGTTTTGTTTATAGTAAAGTGTATTGGCAGTTAACTCTTTTGAAATATCGAAGGGGTCGAAGAGTCATGGGAGGATAGTGATTTCCAGTTGGCTTCGGTTTCAGTTTAATGAAGGTGGTATGTACAGTCTGAAAAAATCAAAGGTTCTCCAATTTTGGCCTAAAAAACTAGCTTGAATGTCGCTTCAATAATTTTGAAATACACTTCAGGATATTGTAGGGGAAAGTTATAGCTTGTATTAAGACGCTTTTTATCAGAGTTTTTAATCATTGGAGATAACAATTTTTAGCATTTCTCAGGCAATAAATAGCTTATAGCTCGATAACGACTAACTTTAGAGAAAAGTTCACACGGACCTTTTTGATCACAATAATCCGTGAAATCAGAAAAATGTAATTACTTCAGGGATTCAATAAAAAAATGGACCGGTAAATTGATCCAGCTTTGGGAATTCCGACAACAGCTCTGAACAAAAAAAAATAACCGATGTTCTTATTTCCATAACGAAAACATTTGAACGTTTGAACGATACTCTTAAAAATGATTATTGAATGATGGACATATGAATGGAGCAAGAGGAAATGGAGAAAAATTCGTTTTCGTGGCAGGTTATCTTTATAAAATGTCTGGGACAGATATAAAAGAATATATGGTGAACCACTCAGGTTTTTATTGAAAATAATATCACGAAAATACATGCACTTAAAAGGAGAATGGTTTTACTTCAATAACTTTCACCCTTTTTAGAGCGATAAAACGTGCTTTATGAATAAGTTTAAGCGTTTAAGTAAACATTGCAAAGCTAATGTTAGGTATTTATGATAGAAGTTTTGGAATGGAGCTAAAGCAACTTCGGCACCCACTATGTTGAAATTCAAGTATATTGGACATAATATGAAAACCACTGAAATTGTCTTTATTTCTAGTCAACGATGCAACTAGCGGTTATACGAGGGATGTCTTTTAAGTTTTGCATATAGAAACATGGCAGGCCGCGCGCATCGAACGTCAGTGCTGATTCTTAACTTCACTCTTTAGTAAACTTAAATTCAAAGTTTCACAAAAAATACGTGCAGTGTTCTCACAACAGTGAATTTTTAAGTGTCTCCAAGTCATTAGAAAATGGAACTCAATCGAGAACATTTAAGCGCCATAATTTATTACAACTTTCAGAGACAATTATCGCAACAAGAGTGCCTTGCTGAGTTACTGTCTGTTTTCGGCAACGAAGCGCCACATTCGACAATTTCCCATTGGTATGGAGAATTCAAACGTGGACGGATGACTCTTAGCGACGTTCCCAGGGTGGGTGCACCAAAAGCGGCAATCACCCAGGAAAACGTCGATGCTGTGCGCAAACTCATCATTGAAGATAGACATGTGACATATCGCGAGATTGAGGCGTCCTTGAAGATCTCGAAGACCTCAATTCAAAAAATGTTACATGAAGAATTAGGAGTAAGAAAATTAGTTTCTCGTTGGATACCCCACCAGTTGACTGAAGAGCAGATAGTAGCCAGGGTTAATTGATGTCAAAAAACGCTTGACCGCTTCAATTCCGGAAACTCAAAAAATGTGAACAGCATTATTAGTGGTGATGCATTGTGGATTTACTGTTATGAACCAGAAAATAAACGACACTCGGCTGTTTGGGTGTTCCAAGGTGAAGAAAAGCCAACAAAAGTCATCCGTTCTCGAAGTGTTTCGAAAAAGATGGTCGCGACATTTGTGTCAAAAGTGGGTCATATTGCAACAATTCCTCTTAATGAGCAAAGAACTGTTACTGCGGATTGATATACCACCATTTGCTTATCAAAAGTCATCACCGAGCTTCGAAAAATCAACCCCGAAAGGAGAATCATCCTCCCCACCAAGACAATGCAAGCTCGTACACAGCCCAAAAAACAAGGCAGTATTTAACGGAAGAAAACGTGGAATTATTGGACCATCCTCCATATAGTCCCTATCTAAGTCCTAACGATTTCTTTACTCTCCCGAAAATTAAAAACAGACTGTGTGGTCAAAGGTTCCAGTCACCGGATAAGCAGTTGACGCATCCAAAAATACCGTTATGGATCTGCCAGCAAACGAGTGGAATAAGTGCGTCGAAAATTGGTTCGAGCGCATGCAGATTTGTATTAATCTTCATGGAGAATACTTCGAAAAACAATAAAGTCATTTAAAACTACCTACAGTGTTGTTTTATTTACATATGCAAAACTTAAAAGATATCCCTCGTATAACAGTACGGTAAAATCATTCATTTTTAATTCTACTTAAGTGCTGCTGCTGTAATTTTTTGTTTACCTGTTTCGCTCTAATTTCACGCCTCGGGCAATAAGTCTTCATTTAATGCCCTAGATGCATGAATAGCTATTAATTAGCAGGTCTTCACGAAAAAATCCTCGATGCAAATCATTCCGCGCCGTTTATAATAATGCCAAACAACTTTGACAGTCTATCATTTACCTAAAACATGGCATTTGGCCTATTTATGAAATGAACCGTTTTTCAGAAAATCACTTTTGCCACATAATATACAGTTCCAGTATATATTAGTTTATAAACTGTATTTTATTTTGATCACAAAAAAGGTATAC